CTTAAAAATTGTCCTCTACTTCTAAAAAGTCAAAAAAAGGCCCCGGAAAACACCTCCTACCCATCTTCCACCCCCCTCATTTTACCCTCCTGTCTCTGTCCCTAGTTTTTCCCCCTCTCACTGGCACGTTACAAGTGCAGGGGTTCCCCTCCTTCGTTTGTCCCTTCCTCCCCTGTTCCCCCCCAAAGTTTCTTCCTTTTTCTGCCACCCCCCAGGTTCCTGTTTTTGCCCCCTTGCCAGCTTCCCCATTTCCCTCCCCCCCTTTTCGCCCCCCCCTCCTTGGTACAGCCCAAACCATTTCCCAATCTTTACCCCATCCCCCCCCCTACCTTTCCCCAATATTGTCTCCCCATACGACATTTTCCTGAATTCCGAAAACTTTTGAAGAAAAATCTCTGAAATAAAATTGCAGAGACCAAAACCATCAATGGACACTGTTCCCCCTTTCCCCGCTATTTCTTTTTCCTTGCTCCTTTCTCCCGCAACCCCTTTCCCTTCCCCAGCGCACCGTTCTTCGCTGTTGAACTTTTTCCCGCCTCCGGTGGACTTTTTTTCCCTTTTTGCCCGTGGGGGAAAACCCTTCCCTGGGGGATTTCAGTATTTTATCATTCCCCAAAATTTTTTGGTTCTTCCGGGGAAATACCCCGGGGGAAAATAAAGGGGAAATTCGGGGTGAGCTTCAGGGGTTATTTCCCCCCGTTTGCCCTGTTGGTGTTTGTTACAAAACCCAAAAATTCCCACTTGCGTTATTTTAAATCTAGGTATAATTTATTGTATTCTTCGTTCCTTTTCCTGATGGGATTTTTCAAGGAAAAGGCCCCTTCTTTCCGCAGGGATATTCCGTACCATCGCATTTATTCTTTCTTCGCTGCTTTTCCCACAGAGCCCGTATCCATTTTAATGGGTTGGGTATACGCCTGTTCTTTAATCTCTTCCTTCTGGGGGATTATCTTTTCCCGGGGATTTTGCCTTCCTTGTTTCTTTCTTAACCCCCCGATTCGGGTTTACTTGGTGATTTAATCCCCACCTTTTCCCTCTGGGGAGGGTCTCCTGTGATTCCCGGGGGGAATTCAGTTAGAGGCTTTTTTCCCCACCCACCCCTCCATGTTTTAAAACAGGTACTCACACCCATTTTGATCCTGGATCATTCCCTCTTGATCGATCTCTTCAGTTTGCTCTTCCCCCGCCGCATTAGACTTTACTTGGGCTTTTTCTACCGGCTTTACTGACAGTGATCAATTTTCCCCCCATTTTTATTCCCCTTCTTTTTCGCCACCCTCTTTGCACCCCACGCTGGCCCAAATTTTTTTTGGGCAAATTGGAACCCTTTTCTCACACCTGGCTGTTTTTTAAAAAGGTTCCTTTTTCGTCCCCCATCATGAGTTTTAACCTCCTCTCGTTCCCCCGTTTTTTACCCCAGTTTAAATTTATACCCCAAAAATTCGGGGCAGGCTTTTTCAGAAATTTTCGTGCCTTTGGGGGTTTTCCTGTTGTGCTCGTTTCGTCATTTTTAAAGCGCTGCATGGGGCAGGGACGGTACAAAGAACCAAAAGAGCGACTCCCCTTTATTTTTTTTCAAGAAGCGGGGCCCATCGCTTTGCCGTGTCATCCGTGAAAAATAAACCCCACCCTTTTGGCGAATTATGGGCTCCACCATCACCTCTGCTTTTTCCCTTTTTGAGTGCAGTCTGGAAAAAAAATTCGAAAAAATGAGTGGTAAATTTTTTTTCCCCCGACCCGGCTCCTGTTCTGCGGGTTGCCCCGGGGTTGTTTTAGCAAACCCCAGGTTTTTGCCAATGAAAATTTTGGCCAAACATCTGGTCCGTTTTTTCAGGGACTCCATCTTTTGGGCCCCTCATTTTTTTCCTCAAAGTCTGCCAGGAGTTAGCACCCCTTTGGGCTTTTCTTCTTCAGAGAGAACAGGATAAAGGGCCCCCTTTTCCCTTTAAGAACTGGAGGAACACTCTCAGCTTGTCAATCATCGGCAGCTGGGCCCGACGACATTCTATTGTTTTTCTACAAAAATTTTTCATCGTTTAGCCCTTGCAGTCCCATTTACGCCCTTTTCATTTTTATTTGGTCCAAGGAGTTCTTCCACAGCTGTTTGGGAAAACCGCCATTGTTCCCCCCTTTCCGCAAACCCCCCACTAACCCGGGGCATGGGAAAAAACCCACCCATCGTCCCATTGCTCTTACCCGGCAGTTTGCCAAAAAAAATGGAACGTCTAAATAATAGACGTTTAGTGTGGTAATTTTGAGAAAACACAACAGTCTCTCCCCTTTGTCAAATGGCTTTTGTAAGGGCGTTTTTTCCCCTTAAGGGCCCTTACTGCGCTTGGTAGTATGTTGTAATGCCCTTTTGGGAAAAACCCCTCAGTTATTGCCATTTTTTGACCTTGAGAGGGAAATGACACAAATTGGAGGTATAATTTTTTGCCCCAAACCCCAACCTTTGGCCTTCGAGGCAAACTACCATCCCTTTCCCTTTAAAAAACTTTTTTAATGACAAGGGATTTCCGGGTTTTTTGGGTTAAAAAATGTGCTCTCCCGGACCCTTTTTCCAAGTTTAGGTGTCCCCCGGGATGGGTTTTTGAGCCAAAAAACTTTTTTCCTTGCTATTTAAAGATTTGGCCCCTAGTTTCCATCAAAAATTTGGTCATCACTCTATGTTGATTTACTTCGCTATTTCCCGGGCAAAGGGCCTTTACTGTCACCTCCTTTCGTTTCTCTCCCGCATGCAGTCGAACCCCTGTTTCCAATTGGGCCCCCAACATGGGGTTTTTAAAATTTTCCCCGCACTAAAAACCACCAAATCACTTTCACTGACGCTTGGCATCTTTGATTTTTCCTTGTACCCTATGGCCCCCGTATCCCCGAACGTGATTCAGTCAAGTTTCTGGGCCCCCTCTTTTTATCGTTTTGGGAAACCTGGAAACCCCACATTACCTTCTGAAGGCAACTTGTATAGCCGGCTGAACCCTTTTAAAAACCCTTTCTCATCTTTGTGGGGGGGGTGATCGTCGGGGCCCCCCTTCCTACATTTTCCCCCCCTTTATTTTATCGAAACTTGATTTGGTGACCAGATCTATTCCGGGGGATCTCCCGCTACTCTCCTTTGCCTTTTAACCCCCTTCATCACCAAGGATTCGTTTATGCCTTTGGGGCTTTTTTGCTCTTCCCCCGTCGAAAACCTTTTATGCAGGGAAACGAACGTTCCATCCTTATCCGATCGCCGTGGGCCCTTTTCCTGCGCTACTTTTGTACGCTCTCTTTATTCCGGGAAACCTTTCCCTTTTTTTGGGAAAGGTCACTTGGGTTTTTGTAGACATTCTTTATTTGCTCGCCCCCTGTTTTTCCGTCCCTTTTCTTTGCCTTTTTTTCGCTCTTTTTTCTCTTTTAATACCCCCATTCATGTACATGTAGCTTTTAAATTTTTTCCCCACCCCCCTGGGAAAAGTTCCAAACGTTCGTTCTGTTTTTTTCTCCCCCCTTGTCGAAAGCCCAAAATGTCTTTCGGCGCTTTTCCCCCTCTCTTTTTTTTGGGCCATTTCACCCTCAAATTTTCATGCCCTTGCTGTGTACCAGAAGGCTCTAAGTCTTCTGACGGCCCCTTTGGATTTCAGCAGTGTTTCCCGGGCAAACGTCGTACAGGGTTTACTATTTCAGCCCCAGTATTTTTTCTGCTGAATTTTTATGCCATCTTACAGCACTTTTCCCGTATTGCTTCTATGCCCGTTTTCATTTTTTTGTGGTTGTCTCAGGGCTCCCCTTTGTTTCTTTTTCGGCCCATACAAAAATTTGGGTTTCACCTCACCCTTTTGTCCCCCCGTATCCAAATTTGGCTACGCCGCATCTTTACTAAGCATTTAAAGGTATTGTTTTTTGTTGGGTCCCTGGTCATGTTGACGTTTCAGGGCAAGGGAAAGGCAGGACCTGCTGCGCGGTCCCAGTACATGACCTTCCAGTTTTTTTTAAGAGGTTTTTCCCGGGACGGATATTTTGCTGAAAAATTTTCCCCCCTTCCCCACCCGTTTAAAAAAGTTGGGTCTACTATGTCGGCAACAAACTTCCCGTCTATTAAACCGAGTATAGGTTACTGGCCGTCTTTTTAAACCCCAGTGTCGAGGTTGGGGGACTACTCTTTTCCCCTCTTCGCATTGGCCATACTCGTCTTAATCATGGGATTTTTCATGGGAGGCGTCCTTTGGCCCCCTCTCTGTGAGAATTGGGCCCAAACCCATTATCAGTCAGCCACATTCTGTTTGGGGGCTGCCCACTTTTATAACGAGCACGCAGAATTTACCTCGTGTCTTCGCCCGCGCTTTTCCTTTTCCTTCCCTTTTCGCTGATGGACCCACCTTTTTATTTCCCGGGGCTCTTAATTTACTTTTTGACAAAGATGACTTCTTCACAAATTTTTGATATTTCAGCCCTTTCTAATTGTATCTCTTGTTCCCCCCCTAACCCCCCCTATTCCCCCGCCCGCTGGTTTTTTTGTAAACCCGCTGATCATCCCCCCCCCCCTTCTTTCCATCCCGTTCCCTTGCTTCCCTTCCCCACCCTGCAGCGCTGTATAGCCCTTGTGGCTTAGCGCTTCTTTTTGATTATAATAATAATAATTAAACGAAACCTAGTTCTGGAACGTAACATCAAGTTACATAGCATATTTCTTACAGATATAAGGGAGCTGGAAAATGTGAACAGAGAATGACGTTCCTTTTGCAGGTTGCCCAAATAGTAACAGCCTGACTGATCAGAGACTAGACTGCTTAGCGGACAGAGGATGCAGGCTCTACCACTCATTTCTCTTAATAACCCATATTAAGAGTTCTTGGTCTAAGGAATGGGAGCTACCCCACTCCTTCCTTGAGTCAATAGTGATTTCCTTCCATTCTTGATGTGTTGTCTGATCTCTTTAGGGTTTAGTGCTTCGTCGAGAATATTATTAACTGTATGATCCTTAAGGATTTAATGCTTCATAAAATTAATGTGTGTTGCAGGTACCTGGTGCTGGAACATGTGTCTGGGGGAGAGCTGTTCGACTACCTCGTCAAGAAGGGCAGATTAACACCCAAGGAAGCACGGAGATTCTTCAGACAGATTATATCAGCCTTAGATTTTTGCCATAGTCATTCAATATGGTGAGTATATTGACAGTATGTATTATGGGGTTGAGTAGGTGAATGAGTGTCAAGTGTGGAACTATATTGCATTTTTATGCATTGTTAATGCTGCAACTTTACTGTGATCTAGCAGGACAACTGTGATAGAGATCAACTAATGACCAGTTTATATTACATTTAATCAGAATGACTAGGTAACGGTGTCATTAATTTGCAGAATACAGTGGAACCTTGAGTGTCGATTGCATTACTTGTCAAACAAATCGGTTTTCGGACAAGCAATTCCAGAAAAAAAATGTCCTGGTTTTCATACATCCTCTCGGTTGTTGACCGATATTACAACCCAGGGGTCCCAAAGGTCTGTTATTCTGGGTGTAAAGGGAGCAAAATAAACACAGCAGAAAACTTTTGACTTATATTGTCCTTCACCAATTTAGAACAGAAGTTTATTTTTATTATTTATTATCACACTGGCCGATTCCCACCAAGGCAGGGTGGCCCAAAAAAGAAAAACTTTCACCATCATTCACTCCATCACTGTCTTGCCAGAAGGGTGCTTTACACTACAGTTTTTAAACTGCAACATTTACACCCCTCCTTCAGAGTGCAGGCACTGTACTTCCCATCTCCAGGACTCAAGTCCGGCCTGCCGGTTTCCCTGAATCCCTTCATAAATGTTACTTTGCTCACACTCCAACAGCACGTCAAGTATTAAAAACCATATGTCTCCATTCACTCCTATCAAACACGCTCACGCATGCCTGCTGGAAGTCCAAGGCCCTCGCACACAAAACCTCCTTTACCCCCTCCCTCCAACCTTTCCTAGGCCGACCCCTACCCCGCCTTCCTTCCACTACAGACTGATACACTCTTGAAGTCACTCTGTTTCGCTCCATTCTCTCTACATGTCCGAACCACCTCAACAACCCTTCCTCAGCCCTCTGGACAACAGTTTTGGTAATCCCGCACCTCCTCCTAACTTCCAAACTACGAATTCTCTGCATTATATTCACACATTGCCCTCAGACATGACGTCTCCACTGCCTCCAGCCTTCTCCTCGCTGCAACATTCATCACCCATGCTTCACACCCATATAAGAGCGTTGGTAAAACTATACTCTCATACATTCCCCTCTTTGCCTCCAAGGACAAAGTTCTTTGTCTCCACAGACTCCTAAGTGCACCACTCACCCTTTTCCCCTCATCAATTCTACGATTCACCTCATCTTTCATAGACCCATCCGCTGACACGTCCACTCCCAAATATCTGAATACATTCACCTCCTCCATACTCTCTCCCTCCAATCTGATATCCAATCTTTCATCACCTAATCTTTTTGTTATCCTCATAACCTTACTCTTTCCTGTATTCACCTGTAATTTTCTTCTTTTGCACACCCTACCAAATTCATCCACCAATCTCTGCAACTTCTCTTCCGAATCTCCCAAGAGCACAGTGTCATCAGCAAAGAGCAACTGTGACAACTCCCACTTTATGTGTGATTCTTTATCTTTTAACTCCACGCCTCTTGCCAAGACCCTCGCATTTACTTCTCTTACAACCCCATCTTTTTATTTATTATCACACTGGCCGATTCCCACAAAGGCAGGGTGGCCCGAAAAAGAAAAACTTTCACCATCATTCACTCCATCACTGTCTTGCCAGAAGGGTGCTTTACACTACAGTTTTTAAACTGCAACATTAACACCCCTCCTTCAGAGTGCAGGCACTGTACTTCCCATCTCCAGGACTCAAGTCCGGCCTGCTGGTTTCCCTGAACCCCTTCATAAATGTTACTTTGCTCACACTCCAACAGCACGTCAAGTATTAAAAACCATTCGTCTCCATTCACTCCATTTTAGGTAGTAGGTTGGTAGACAGCAACCACCCAGGGAAGTACTACCGTCCTGCCAGATGACTGTGAAACAGAAACCTGTAACTGTTTTGCATGATGGTAGGATTGCTGGTGTCTTTTTCTGTATCATAAACATGCTAGATAACAGGGATATCTTGCTACTCCAACTTACACTTTGGTCACACTTCACAGACATGCACATGCATATATATATACATACATCTAGGTTTTTCTCCTTTTTCTACATAGCTCTTGTTCTTCTTTATTTCTTCTATTGTCCATGGGGAAGTGGAAAAGAATCTTTCCTCCGTAAGCCATGCGTGTCGTATGAGGCGACTAAAATGCCGGGAGCAATGGGCTAGTAACCCCTTCTCCTGTAGACATTTACTAAAAAAGAGAAGAAGAAAAAAAAACCCATCTATAAATATATTAAACAACCACAGTGACATCACACATCCTTGTCTAAGGCCTACTTTTACTGGGAAATAATTTCCCTCTTTCCTACATACTCTAACTTGAGCCTCACTATCTTCGTAAAAACTCTTCACTGCTTTCAGTAACCTACCTCCTACACCATACACCTGCAACATCTGCCACATTGCCCCCCTATCCACCCTGTCCATAAATGCCACAAAGACCTCTTTAGCCTTATCTAAATACTGTTCACTTATATGTTTCACTGTAAACACCTGGTCCACACACCCCCTACCTTTCCTAAAGCCTCCTTGTTCATCTGCTATCCTATTCTCCGTCTTACTCTTAATTCTTTCAATAATAACTCTACCATACACTTTACCAGGTATACTCAGCAGACTTATCCCCCTATAATTTTTGCACTCTCTTTTGTCCCCTTTGCCTTTATACAAAGGAACTATGCATGCTTTCTGCCAATCCCTAGGTACCTTACCCTCTTCCATACATTTATTAAATAATTGCACCAACCACTCCAAAACTATATCCCCATCTGCTTTTAACATTTCTATCTTTATCTCATCAATCCCGGCTGCCTTACCCCCATTCATTTTACCTACTGCCTCACGAACTTCCCCCACACTCACAACTGGCTCTTCCTCACTCCTACAAGATGTTATTCCTCCTTGCCCTATACACGAAATCACAGCTTCCCTATCTTCATCAACATTTAACAATTCCTCAAAATATTCCCTCCATCTTCCCAATACCTCTAACTCTCCATTTAATAACTCTCCTCTCCTATTTTTAACTGACAAATCCATTTGTTCTATAGGCTTCCTTAACTTGTTAATCTCACTCCAAAACTTTTTCTTATTTTCAACAAAATTTGTTGATAACATCTCACCCACTCTCTCATTTGCTCTCTTTTTACATTGCTTCACCACTCTCTTAACACCTCTCTTTTTCTCCATATACTCTTCCCTCCTTGCATCACTTCTACTTTGTAAAAACTTCTCATATGCTAACTTTTTCTCCCTTACTACTCTCTTTACATCATCATTCCACCAATCGCTCCTCTTCCCTCCCGCACCCACTTTCCTGTAACCACAAACTTCTGCTGAACACTCTAACACTACATTTTTAAACCTACCCCATACCTCTTTGACCCCATTGCCTATGCTCTCATTAGCCCATCTATCCTCCAATAGCTGTTTATATCTTACCCTAACTGCCTCCTCTTTTAGTTTATAAACCTTCACCTCTCTCTTCCCTGATGCTTCTATTCTCCTTGTATCCCATCTACCTTTTACTCTCAGTGTAGCTACAACTAGAAAGTGATCTGATATATCTGTGGCCCCTCTATAAACATGTACATCCTGAAGTCTACTCAACAGTCTTTTATCTACCAATACATAATCCAACAAACTACTGTCATTTTGCCCTACATCATATCTTGTATACTTATTTATCCTCTTTTTCTTAAAATATGTATTACCTATAACTAAACCCCTTTCTATACAAAGTTCAATCAAAGGTTCTCCCATTATCATTTACACCTGGCACACCAAACTTACCTACCACACCCTCTCTAAAAGTTTCTCCTACTTTAGCATTCAGGTCCCCAACCACAATTACTCTCTCACTTGGTTCAAAGGCTCCTATACATTCACTTAACATCTCCCAAAATCTCTCTCTCTCCTCTGCATTCCTCTCTTCTCCAGGTGCATACATGCTTATTATGACCCACTTTTCACATCCAACCTTTACTTTAATCCACATAATTCTTGAATTTACACATTCATATTCTCTTTTCTCCTTCCATAACTGATCCTTCAACATTACTGCTACCCCTTCCTTTGCTCTAACTCTCTCAGATACTCCAGATTTAATCCATTTATTTCCCCCCACCGAAACTCCCCTACCCCCTTCAGCTTTGTTTCGCTTAGGGCCAGGACATCCAACTTCTTTTCATTCATAACATCAGCAATCATCTGTTTCTTGTCATCTGCACTACATCCACGCACATTCAAGCATCCCAGTTTTATAAAGTTTTTCTTCTTTTCTTTTTTAGTAAATGTCTACAGGAGAAGGGGTTACTAGCCCATTGCTCCCGGCATTTTAGTCGCCTCATACGACACGCATGGCTTACGGAGGAAAGATTCTTTTCCACTTCCCCATGGACAATAGAAGAAATAAAGAAGAACAAGAGCTATTTAGAAAAAGGAGAAAAACCTAGATGTATGTATATATGTATGCATGTGCGTGTCTGTGAAGTGTAACCAAGGTGTAAGTAGGAGTAGCAAGATATCCCTGTTATCTAGTGTGTTTATGAGACAGAAAAAGAAACCAGCAATCCTACCATCATGTAAAACAGTTACAGGTTTCTGTTTCACAGTCATCTGGCAGGACGGTAGTACTTCCCTGGGTGGTTGCTGTCTACCAACCTACTACCTACAAGTATGTACACTATATACACTATGTACAACAATAGGTATTCGTGCACTCCACGGTAAGTAAGGCAGAATAGAAGCCACTAGAGAGCAGACCGTGCTTCAACCAGCTCTAGAATGGGAATGACAAGGGCAGACAGGAGAGTGGTACCCACATAACCTCTGCGATTGCCAAAACCATCTTCTCATTGGCTATAACCTGGGTACTGGTTGAACGACGGGATCCCATCGTCAACCCTCAGTCCCCTGGTTCGCTGGTTGGGGGAGATAGCCTGTAAATGAGGGTGTGTACATGCGT